CCCTCCCCACCCCTCCCAAATGAAAGGTCGAGAAGGAGATGCCTAATGAGGTTAAACGCCAAATATTACAAAACGTGTTTGATCAATTTTGTGCTCATCTTTTATCCTTCCTCAGGTTCGCATGCGGTACTTAGTGAAAATAAAGTTTGATTTCAAGTAGATGCACAGGTTCCCAATGGAAGGATCGTATCGGTTATGGCTGTCAACGCAAATAGTGTTCAAGCCGAAAGTTGAAATATTTATGAAGATATAACAAAATACAGTTTAGCTGATGATGAATTTGGCAGTGGCTACCATTAGATGAGTGGTGCTCCTCCTGATGTAGATGGCCCCTCCTGTGTGTAACTGAAAGAGACTCAGAACACTATTTGATTCTAAGTTCCCTAGTTTTCTCTTTTGGTGACGACGAAACGGTTTTTTTACACCTCTTCTCTTTTCCTTTTTCCTTGTTTTTCCTTTTTCTCAAGTAACAGGTAGTTCTTCAAACCTGTCAGAAATTACGTAGAGAAAGTGGAAACGGAAATGAAGACTTTGTAGACTTGGAGGTCATTTCGCTGTTTTTCGAGTTAGAACCAAAACGAACTATTTGATTTCTTAAGAAACTGTTGCTTGTGTTTTGTCGGTGGGCAAGTGAAACAGCTAATGGGCTAATTACAGGTATTTAAAACGCTGCAGCGAATTTTTGAAAGCTGCTATTTCTACCTTAAATACTTCGACGAAAAATTCTCTTAAAATTATTTGCCGCAACTCACCTACTTATGGCTGAAACCAACTAATTACAGATCTGTAAAAAAAACTGTATACGAGAGTTAAAAGAAGCTAACTTGTCAAAATGAAAGAATCAAATATCACTTCTAATATTTGTCTTTTTTATTATAAGATGTAGCTTCACGGCGAGAAGGGCCTTACAGTTAGGTCTTGCAAAAACATTTGGATCAGTTAGGCTCTTCATCTTGCTCCCTTAACCAAGATCTTAAACTTATGAGCAATGTTCACCATTTAAGGAAGCTCTTGATCGCTAAACAAATTCTCCTTGTCAGCACCTTAAGAAATGTATAAAGAGCAGAATGGAGAATGTATAATGATGTTAGTGCGTGAAGGGTTGATCGGCCTCTTAGTGATGACCGTAGAATCGGGAAGTACTGGGTTCGACTCCTATTGGGAACACTCAGAGTTCTATTTCTCGTAGCCTACGTTTAGCCGTACCCTCTCCCCCAAGGTGAAACGGAAGCTTCCGTCTCACCAACCCGCAGTGATTACTTGCCAAATTCAGAATTAAACAGTACCCGGTCTTTAGAATACTTTTCCTTGTGTATGGCGACGTCTGTTGACCTCCCTTGCCTGTTGTGGATTAAATAAAATCTTTCTTAATACGACGATCCAACTCAAACTTTGCCTTCTTTCCCACTCTGCACCTTTAGACATAGGGTCTCCGATAGGTTTTTCGGGATCCGTGATTGGGCTTATTTAAAGGCCGAGATCCGGGAATTTAAAGTGAGAAGGGAGCGAAATGCAGGATTGCTATTATAAACGGGAAACGGGAATCGGCGATTTTGAGAGGCGGGATTCGGGAAACATTCACTTAAACAAACCGAGAACCGGGATGTCCGTTGACGAGAATTTGTCTGAAGAAATTGATCTTCTCAGTCTATGAAAAGCACCAGGCGAACAGGCGGCAGCCGGGCTGTTTATGCGCGGGAATGTAAATTATATCAGAAGCGAAGCTGCCAATTTATCAAAAATCCTGAATGGCCCCAAGGGCAACGAGGCATCTAAGACTGCTGCCTCAGTTGAAATGCTTAACAGCCTTGAAAAACCTCCAGCAAGTCTCAGAATTATATCTATTTGACGCACTTAACCTCTTGAGTCGCACGACACTGGACGTGACGAATGTTCACGGTATTCAATTTTCACGGTGTTAGATTACCCAAGAAAGTTTGGAAATGCAGCTAAAGAAGGCTTAAAGAGGAAAACCCATTGGTTGGCGTAAACGAATCCAAATTCTTAATATCCTGTACCCGAACGTGCCATGATCCTTTCGGCCATACCGACAATTTAACCATTACCACCTGTACTGATGGACCACAGAGCATACAGTCACAGCAGGCATTGCAACTCAATCAGACATTAACCTCTTGGCGTATTTTTCATTGTCTTCAGAGACAGAGGGATGCCGATCGTACATGATCGTACAGAGTATACAGAAGATGAGGGACTGAGCCTAAACATTTGTCGCAGCGGTGCGTCAGCGCTCTGTCAAACAGGAAACAACGACGGCAAGAGCTGGAACTCCCCCTCGTACCTCTATCAGAGAGAAATTAAGCCGGGCGAACCGGTCAGCCTCGAACGTTCTGACTTCAAGGAGCAGCAAGAAAACAGCGGAAAACAAGGCGAAGAGGAAGATGGAATATTAGAGTACGATTCCCCGAGTGATGATGGTGACATTCCATCTGTGGAACAAGAGGCTGATTTTCACCTCGGAAGAGGTTCCCGCTTAGTGAGAAGTTTTCGCTTCAACGGCAGAGTTGTGTTCAGCTGATTTTTCTTTATCTTCCTTGCTATGGAACTATGGGATTTCCATCACCTTTTGTGTTTTATGCACTTGTTGATATTGTTATTCGTTTCTTTGATACCGACCTGTCTGTACTAATACGTTTGTCCGTGATCGAAGTTTAACAGAAGGAAGCCGTTACCGTGACTAGCGTACGTTATTCGTGCAAAACTTTGAAAACTTCTAAATGAACGATATCATTATTTTGGTTAAAAGGGATAAACTTACGCCTTACAGCGACCAAAGACTTCAACGGATCAATGCTGGTTGAGAAAATCATCACCCAACGTGAAAGCCCTCCTAAGTTTAGGAAATGGACCAAGACAGAATTGTGTGATCGGGACGGGATTGAGAAAAAAATTTATCAGGGATCGCGGAATTGAAGAACCCTAATGGGGACCCTCTAGGCAGGTTGATGTACGCTTTAGCCAGGATAAAAAAAGGCTCCTGGTTTAGCTCATCATTGTGTTTTGTTTTGTAAAACATCATTGTGTTTTGTTTTGTAAAACAAAAAACACATATTAGCGGGATAGAGCTATGATTTTTCGCAACTGCATGATGATAACTAAAATGGTAGATGAATTCTAATACACTTCCTAACGACCCTCTGCAAATGTATTGTCGACCTTTTGACACCAAGCACGTGTTACAATTCTCGAACAGGACTGGGTACAAGTTAGTCCGATAAGATGGCGGGTAATCTAGCATGCTGTCTTTGTCTAAGGTCGCCTTGTTTTAGTTAGGAAACCGGGAAACTGACACCTTATCATGGCGGATAAAAGGCCCAAGCGACAACGGACTGGAAGATCCTGTATGGTAAGTGGTCTAAAACGATGGTTTTTGGCTATACTTGAGGAAATCGCGATTTTGAGTTGGCGCAAAAGACGCTTGAAAACGTGCTCCAATCAAAACAATGAAATTATTTGAAAGGGACTCGGAAAATATCGTGCTAGTACACATGTTTACGTTTAATGTTACTCACAAGTGTAGTTCAGACTTGTGATTTATTAGCGAGTTGCACTAAACTCAAATAAAGCCAATCTGGTGAAGAATTTAGAACAGAAAAGGCACAATCTAAGCTTAAAAGATTCAGTGAAAACCCTCTTTGGTTGATTTCGTTCTAATCAGAGAACGGATTAGATTCAAAGTAAATCATCTTTAAAGATTATGTTTAGGTACTAGTTATTCTGACGACATAGATCACTGAGCTCTTTTTGTTGCAAAATGTTTCTGAATTATCAGTGAATATGCGATGCGCTCCTCTTGCAAAAAAAGAAAAAAAAAAAGATTAGCACCAACGCTGTTTAATTTAATCGGATAAAGCCGGCTAGTGTACTTGAGATCTACGCTTAGGATTTGCCTTTAAGATCAGTATAGAAAGGATCGGATTTGGCAGAAAAGTTGAAGTACTTTCAACCTCTTCAGGTCCCTGTGTACTTCATTGGTAAAACAGTCTTACAATTCCCGGTGACCCTGCTTTTCGAGACGCGCGGCCTTAGTTCTTCTGATTAAATGCCCATGGAAATTGCTCTTCACTTGAATTTTAAGCTCTGTTTCTTTTTCAAGCAGTTCTTTGATGCAAGTCTGCAACACAGAGAAGAAATCGAGTTAAGAAGGGCACTTAATGAGTCTTTGAAAGAAGCACGAAGTGCACAACAGAAACACGAAGAGCCCGCACAACCGAGCGCAGAAACAAGATCGATATGCACTAATACTGAAACAAGGCTACGTTTGAAAAAACCCCGTGGTCCTAAACTGAAAAAGTGCAGCAAAACCCGCTCTTTAGAAATAAAACAGAATGAAGGTATAACGAAAGGGAGTGAACCTACCATCACAAATGAGGAGGTATTAGCGAAATCCAAAGACCAAAAAGGAGATTCAGCTAAATGGAGAAAGCTTCAGAACAAGGGATCCCTTAGTGAAAAACAACAGAGAAAAGAACTTCAAAGTCCAGAAAAATCAGACAAAGTTATTAAGTCAAACAAATTGGTGAAGGCTGGTCAGAAGAGAGAGCTTAAGATTGTTTTAAATAAACAGAAGACAAATGGGAATTTATTCACTTGCAAGAAAGGGAATGATGGAAAGAAAAGAAACGTTGTTAAAAGCTTGACTGAGAAATTTAATACTGCCAGCAAAGATGAAAAACAACCATCCACAAAATGTGCAAAGCGAAAGCAAGAAAATGACGATCAAAATGACATTGAAACTTGCAATGATCAGGTTAAGAAGAGAAAAATCACACCTCCAAAGCTTGTACCTGAAGTTTTACTAAAAACAGAAAAAACTCCGTTTTCAGTAGAAGAGAGGTACACCTCTGATATATCTGCCCTTAAACAAGAAGTATCTGATGTGCTGCAGGGAAAACTTAGAAAAAAGCATAAACAAAGGCTTAAAGACAGAAAACTTGTGAGTCCACTGGGAGAAATCTACATCCCAGCTAATACAGCCAAGACAGAAGATTTCCTGACTTTCTTATGTTTGAGGGGTAAGTAGGTGATTTAAAGTGATCAATCAGATCTTAGAATTACTTGATAATTTGGTTTTATCAACTAAGGTGACTATGTAAATATGACACTGGGGAGGCTTTCTAGAGCTGACACTTTGGTCACAGGCCCTCCTTCCTTCGCTTTTACGATGGGCTAATGCTGAAAATGTCAGCTTAAGAAACTCTCTGCAGTGACCAATTTACTTTATCAACTCAGTTTATAAAACCAAATCATCCTGTAATACAACCCACCTCCACAGCACCACAGTTTCTTCAGAAATTGACCCCCTTTCGATCTTGGATTAAATCCCCAAATCAAAACCTATAACCTACGCATTTGGTTGGACTGCAAGTTCCAGAAAAAATTATCCTCAGCAATTTGTCTTATGTCAGTCTCGAGTCAGAAAAAGACACTGAAAATATGAGGTGTTTTTACTGTCTTAACTAAGAGATCATGGTGTAGTCATGATTTGATGACTCTGCAATTGAGTAAGTTCTACTTTGGAAAGGAAGAGGGTGAGTTGTGATAAATTCCTGGCATTACAACTGAAATTTTGACCATACATAAAACTTTATCAGTAGTTAATGAAAAGAAATGCAACAAAGAAAGAAAAGAACAGTTAAGGAAATGAAATGAAGCCAATCATGATCCAGAGTTTGACTTGATGACCATTAAAGGCCTCTAGATCTCCCACACAGGTCTTAGAAAACAAAGGATAAACATGAAAATAACAAAAATAATAATAATAGTACGTGTTGCTTGTATTTAACATGTGTTGTTTGCAGGTAGTGCCAGTCTTCCAAGATCCTTTGAGGTCTTCAACAATCCTGATCCTTTCTTTACTCAGCCAACTCAGCAATTTCCAGACGAAGAAGGGTTTTCCAGTCCAATGCTCCACACACAGTCATCAGTGACCTACTCTCCACCTTTGTCAAGTTCTCCGAGTGAGTTCTCAGCAGACTCGCCTATGTCTTCTATAGATGGCTGGTTGTAACAGTACTACATTTTAACAGTAGCATTGACAAAGGCAATTCAATGCATTGAGTTAACCTTGTAGTAAACCTCTATAAGCCTTTGACCTCTAAGAACTATTGGCTTGTAATGTCTTCTTGTGATATCATGCCTGACTAACTCATTGTCACAAGAATAAAAAAAATGATCAAGTAAAGAAGCTCTTGATTGACAAATTCTCCTTGTCGGCACTGTATGAAATGTATAGTGAACAGTATGGAGAATGTTCATACTGATGCTATGGTGTTAAGGGTTAACTGTTGTACATTTTCTTGTACATCACTTATTTATGAGAGTTTTTTCTCTGTCAAGTTGACACTTAGATGATAACCTTTTTGATTCTAATCTCATTGTGCAATTGCAATCGAATTGCTGTGACATACATGAAGGATTATCCTGAAAGCTAGCTTCTGGTTACTGTCTCCTAGTACTGTCTGTCAAGAGTTTTTTCAAACACTCTCTGTCCTTGAATCCTTCTACATATTTTGAATAATGAACTGAACTTGTACAGAGAAGTTACACTTCACTTCTTACAATGGAAAGATGAAGACTTCTTAGTAAGACAATGAAAAGTTTGTCATTCTGGGGCCAATAGTTTCAGAGGCGGTACATCTCATGGGAAAGCTACAAAGCCTAGTAAGTTTACTCCAATGCAAGGTTAGGACAAATGTGTTCTGAACAACTTGGCTTAGATTGTGACTGTGGCAGAGTTTGCATTGCATCATGGGCAATATGCTTTTACAGCTTACAATTGTCTTTCTAGTTGTAACAACCTTTAAATAAAATATGAAAAGTATGTAAAAATTGACAAGAATGTGAACCATGATAGGGGAATACAAATGAAGTCATATTTCTCCAATCATTATTGTGTTCAAAAAACATATATTTAATATTATGATGAAAATGTAGGATATTGTGTTCATTGGAATGTTTGCATGACTACGAGTTTAAATTTGGATATAGGGTTTTTAAAGATGACTTATGATTTTGATTATTCATAATTAGTATATACTAACAGTTGATAGTGTTGAAGGCACGCTCCTATTAGCCACTTGAACTCCAAATAATCTTTGGGGCTCACTTCCAGGCAATTTGCACTGGATCTGGGTCCAAGAATATTATAATTGTTGTAGGAGTAAACAAGTTTAAATAATCTTTTTAGGCTATACTTCTCACTGTTTTAGTACATTCTTACAGCTCCGTAAATATTCACCATTGGCCACCTCCACTTTAGTGAATAGTTGTTACTTGCCATTCTATAATCATGCTAGTTTAGCTTTAGAATTTAATAGACTACTACCCATTCATGCAATAGCAAGTGCATAAAAAGAATTGGATGTTTGACCCCTTGGGCTGTACAAAAGTTAGGATGAAATAACCAGAGGTATTTATTGCAAAGTGTTGCTATTTTTGTTATTCACTAGTACATATTTTTATCATCATGTTGTACTAAAATTAATTTTTTATGCAGAGGACATCAATGTAAATAGTTTGCTTATGGCTACTGAATGAGTATTACTTTCTGGAACAACCTGCAAAGTGACCCAATAAAAAGCTATTTTTAAATAAAAGCTAAAGATTTGTCTTTTCTTGCATCTTTCGTTGAATGTGAATTAAAAGTCAAGAAATTACAACAGTGTCATTGAAAAGTTTTCGAAGTTCTTTTTTCAGCTCTGGTATACCCTTTCCATACTTTGCTGATACAGGTATAACTGGAAGAGGGAAAGTGTTCTGTAGTTGTTGGATTTCTGTCTCTGAATTAGCAATGTCTACTTTGTTAGCCACAATGGCTGCTGGTCTCTGTGATAGTTGTTCCTTGTAAAGCTCCAATTCTTGCCGTAAGGAAGCAAAAGTTGTCAGTGAGTCTGTGCGAGAAATGTCCAAAACATACAGCAGACAGCGGCATCGTTCAATATGACGTAGGAAAGCATGTCCTAACCCTTTGTTCAGATGTGCTCCACTTATTAAACCAGGAATATCTGCTACTACAGAGTAGGAAGAGGAAAACATCAATTCAACAAAAACAAATGACAACAAAAAGACAATAGAACAGTAGATAAAAAAATAAAACAATGCTCTGAAAGGTTTCTTTCTTCTGATTGCTAAAATAGCCATGGTTAATTGCACCAAACTTTTCTTGTGTTTTCTTCCATCCTGCATGGGTGATTACACCAGTTAAACCAACAGAAAATGTGGCTTACAGCTTACATGATATAGCATATAGCAGACAGTAAGCAGACTGTAAGCAGAAATTTTATCTAGATGTATCAGTTACTGTGCAATCATTCAAATGTTACCTGCAATTTGCTGGTAATCTTCAAACTCTACAATTCCAACATAGGGATTAATGGTGGTGAAAGGATAAGCAGCAACTGCTGGCATTGCCCGAGAAATTGCTCTTAGAAGAGTGGATTTTCCGGCATTAGGGAAACCAACCTGTAACATAGGACAAACCAATTTGCCAAATGCTTCAACCACAAGGCTATAAGTTCTAAACATTGGTTGAATTCCAATAATACAAAGCAATACTTACCAATCCAATATCAGCAATTGTCTTCAACTCCAACTCTACAACTTTTTCCTCTCCGGGGGTCCCTTCAGTAGTAACATTGGGTGCGCGATCCTCTGGTGTCTTGAAATATGCATTCCCCATTCCACCAAGGCCTCCTTGAGCAGCTACAAAGGTCTCTCCCATGGCAGTCAAGTCTGCTATTACATACCCTTGTTCTTTAATAACAGTGCCCAGGGGTACCTACAAAGGGTCTTTTCTAATTAGGTTACTGAAATAGGGAATTAATCTTAGTGCCAATGTTCACTCTTCTCTTTATAATATGACCATCTATTTAGGAAAATCATGCCATGTTCTTAGGCATGATCCTTCATTTACACAGTGCTCCTAAGCAACTCAGGAAGATACATACAAGTGGTCACCACATGACCTAGAGCCAAATATTTTCCCCTCTAGCCCTCCAACTCAGTCAGATAAAATACAGTATTGCAAATGGTTTGGGAAATCTAACAAAATACTAGCCAAAGGAGTGAAACGTGAAAGTCAGAGGCTTCAATTTAAGCTAGAAACTGGCAGTCTACTGCTGCTTATAAAGCCCCATTAAAACACCTTTAACCACCCCAAGCACATCTGTTAAGAAATTCATTTTAAGGGGTGAATGAAATTAAGTCTAGGTGACTTCTGATAGACTACAAGATTCTCCTTCTAAACTGTCAGTGTGTTTCTTTGTGAAACACAAGGAGAATTTGAGTCTGTATCAAAAGTCACTTAGTGCTTCATTCTGTGCATGTGGTCATTTAAACCAGCCTTCAGACCCAGTGTGCATAATTATATATTCTCTATGCTGTCCATTATAATTATATATTTCTCACGGTACTGACTAGGAGAAGTTGTCTAACATGGTCATTTCCTTTATTCTCACGTCCATAATGTTTGGTTTTCATTAAGTTTGTGACCCGATAAGTTTGTAATTTACCTGCCACATCTGATCTGAGCCATTCTTTCCCTTACAGTCATCTGCCTTACCAGCTCCACCATTTTCAGCCTTGATATGTTTGGGAAGATGAGCAAACTCTTTAACAGAGTAATCTGCGATCAGAATGACACTCCCTCCTCTCCCACCATCTCCCCCATCTGGACCAGCTCTGGGTTGGTATCTAGATGTCAATGTTGGATATTGTGATATCATTGACTTATTTCATGATTGGGGAGAAAATATCATAACTAAATGTTACTGTATCTGATAAGCTTTTGATCTTACTTTTGTCTTTTAAAGTGAAGGCAACCATTTCCACCATTTCCTGCCTTCAGGATTACTTTTTTCCAGTCAATAAACTGCCTTTTCTGAAAAAAATTGAAATAAAAGGAATTGTTATCAAAATTCAATGGTAGCAGCATACAAGTGCAAAGTCATGATCAATGGGTGACCTCATGCAATTTAATAGAGGGTTGCAATTCCCCTCCTTTTCATTGGAGGGGGTCCAATCTTCAAATACGAGTACATCTCTGGTATATTTGTTGTTACACAAGTAGACTTGTTAAGCAGAAATAGTTGTATTTGATTTATAGATCAAAAAAGGTTCTACGATTTTACTGAAAAAATATTACCTAACTTGTTCAGTCTATTGCCTTCATCTCCAGTATGACTTTTGGGTTCATTCATGGCAAGCAAGGTGGTATCAAGCTTCTCGAGCTCTCTCCCATAAATCAGAGCAACAAAAAAACTGCTTAACCCTGTATACCCTAACATCAGTTTGCATATTCTCCATACTATTCTTTATACATTTCCTATGGTATTGACAAGGAGACTTTGTTTAACAATCATGAGCTCCTTTACTTGATGATCATTTTCTTTATCCCTGTGACCTGAATATGTGAATCAGAGGTGATCTTGTAAGGAGAAATTAGATTCTTGTCACTCTTAGTGGTTAAAGGGTGTAATGAATCACCATGAATTGACCTTAAAAATACACAGGAGACAAAGACAAATACAACTGAAGTGAGTTAAACTACCTTTGTTGGTTAAATCCCCTTCATTTTTTAGGGGCATATGCAAACATTTTCTTAACCCTTTGGTTCCTAACATCAGTATGTATATTCTCCATACTGTTCTCTATACATTTCCTTCAGTACTAAGGACAAGGAAAATTTGTTTAATAAAGAGCTCCTTTTAAATAAGGGAATAACATGACTTTTTGAGGGAATATTGTTTATTTGTGCCCACGTAGTCTCATTTGTGTGCGCTCGGGCGCAAATGACACTACAAGGGCGCAAATAAACAATATTCCCGAAAAAAGTCATGTCATTATCATTATTATAAACAAGGCCAAATGATATCAAGAATGCGAGTTTTAATAATACAAGCTAAGTGAATGACGAATTCAAAGTCACTTCAAATCATGTAAGTGTTGATTGAACAAGCTATTAAAGAATCAACTCAGTCCAGTGAACTTATTGAAAATTACCGAAAAAAATGCTTTAAAATCGTCTATAAATAATAGGCATATCACAAAGTTAACCTTAAAAATGTCCATGCTGGTAACAGAATCATCACAAAGCTGTAGGGCTGATAATGCATTAGCAGCCCGCTGTCAGCCTTTTGCGGCCCGCTGAGCGTGTGTTTTGAAGAGGCCGACTTTCTATTTGGCCGTGTATATTGATAATAATGGGTGATCATTTCCTTGTAAATAAGCTACAAGAATTTGGTGTCAGATCGAGATAACAACTTCAACCCGATAAGTTTGAATATTCTCATGACCTGTTTGCTGAATAATGTTTAGATATTATAGGGAGAAGTTACATTTTGATTACCTCTAGGTGTTGAAGGGGTTAAGAGGAGTTAAGAGAAATAAAAGTTTTCCTTTCTTTTTACCTGTCTGATGGAAAATGTGTTGATATGACTAAGAGAAGTTGCTCATTATTCACTCCTGGGAGTTGAAGGGTTTTAGTTAACTCTTTACACCCTAACATCAGCATGCATATTCTCCATACTGTTCCCTATACATTCCCTGAGGTGCTGTGAGGAGAATTTGTTTCATAATCAAGAGCTTCTGTAGTTGGTGATCATTTCCTTTATTCTCTTGACCTTAATGTTATATACAAGGGGTGATGGTGTAAGGAGAAATTGTTTGCTGGTCACTCTTAGGGGTTAAAGGGTTTTACAAACAAGTCCTGTTGCGTCACTAATTAATACAGCCAAGATGCACCAGTGGTTTCATACTTTAGCAAAACAATCATTGCCATACTCTTAAACGGGACACATACTTAAATTAGAGTAAAACAGAAAAAGAGGCTAAGAGTAAAATATTCATAATCATAGTTAGCACTTATTTCAGTTGTTTGATTGTTGTTGTTTACACTAGATGAAGAATTTTGATTGTTTGATTAAGAATTAGATTGTCAGCACCGATTTCTATCAGAATAAATGATCAAACGATTCCTACTTTACCTTACTTGCTTTGGAACTAAAACACCGCGAGATCACAAAACGCCATATAAAAACCATTTAAGAATGTGCCTTGCAAACAGGAAAACAAAGCTTGGTTGCTAATTCTTCAGGCGTGGCTACATAATATGAACCCGCTGACCTGTCAACACAACCTGCAATGGAAAAATCGATGTTTACAGTTCGAAGCGACTGCTGAAAATGGAGACACGGTACACGTGGTTTCTTTATTTTGTTTTCGATCAGACAGGCCTCTAACTTTACATTTAGTACCCAGTGGCTGGGAGAAGAATGGCGGCGGATCGCCCAAAGCGAAGGATCACACAACCCTGTTTGGTATGTAAAACGATTCTCTGATTGAAGGCGCCTTTGTTTCGAACTTCTGCTGTTAGCGACTGGTCGATCGCTACGTAAGGAAGCGCTTTTGGCGATTTCCTGTTACTGTTGCATTGTTCTGTCGATTCTCGCTTTTGTTCTGTTAGATCCCTAACTGAACAGCTGTGTGCGAGTGATCATTTCAACTCCGCAGTTGAAACTCTACTGCACTCAAGTTTATCTAATAGGTACTACAGCGAACGCATCACGTGAAATTAACCCGGAATAAGGGGATGTGAGCTGCCGAATCTTGCGTTGACTGGTTTTTCACAGACACCCCGAAAGAGGCAATTTCCTCATCTTTGTTTAATTTAGGTTATGGGGAGAAAGCACCATGCATTCAGTATGGGGTTTTGACTGCAGTCAAGTACTCTGTCTGAGTCTTGTATTGTGATAATTAAAAGTGCATGCCAGACAGAATCATAGCCACTTCTATTGGAAAAAAATCGTATGAGAAAAATATTCAAAATGATGTTGATCACCGCTTCAAATTCAAGTCTTTTAAATAATTAAATATTCAAATGTTCCCCTTCAGTAAAACGGGATCTACATTAGCACTTTAGCGGGTTGAATATTGTCGACGGCTTTCGAATCTTAATACGCTATCGAAGGAGTTCAACAAGCAAATTTTAATGTTTTGAGTTAAGGCTGTGCATGAAACAACCATAATATATATTTTTTTTAAGTATTATCACGTGTGTTGTTTTTAGAAAACGTAAAACTTCAGACATTATTTCAACGCCTGACATATCAGTCCATTGTAGTTTCATGCATGACTGCATCTCACTGTCCTTTCGAAAATGCGATCATTTTTATAACTTGACCCTCTGATTTCTTAATCTGAGACTTGATGGTAAAAACTTTCATCAAAGCTCAGAAATGGACAGTTTTTCTTTTCCATTTTTGATATTGGGTCAAACGTTGTTGTTTTGTTATTTGTTTTAACTGTTTTTTTTTTTGTATTTATTATTTATTTGTCATATCTATTGATATTTATTTATACATTTACCTTTTTTTTCCTTTACATATTAATGACAGTTTTTTCAAACTACTGCAAAACTGATCTTTACATCTGCATTCTAGCCACTTAACTTAATTTTGCAGATTACTTTTTAAAGTGCAACTTCTGCTCTGTCATGGTGCTTGTACAAAACTGTCCAATCAAATATCAGGAAAAGAGGATTGAATTTGAAAAAAAAAGTTTTTCTTACCCCTTTTTACTCCAGCCCTGAATCTTGTAAGAATCACTTTTCATTTCCTAAAACGTGATTGGTGAACTTTATGTTAGTGGCTTTGTACAAGACAATCACACTGGACAATGTAGTTGCTCAACTTATTTATTAGCTCATTTAAGAATCACCATATGTGTTCCTCAGTCCATTCTATTTTTAAAAATTACTATAATTCATTTTGTTGGATCTCACGAGGTGTATACACAGATGTAAAGTAACCCTTAAACTCCCAAAATCTGATTCTTAATTCTCCTCTCAAGCTGGTACTCATTTCCTTGTAAATTAGTTAAGAGAATTTGGAATTAGATCAAGATAGCAACTTCTCCTTAATTAGTTTGAACATTTTCATTACTTTTTTGCTGGATAATGTATGAATACTATGGGGAGAAGTTATATGTTAATCACTTCTTTGAATTACAGGGTCTGTGATAAGCAGAAGTTACACAATAATATGCCCCTGTGAGGTTAAAGCCAAGAGTCACACAGTGCTTTACTAGAAAAGTAGTATTTGAGTATCACAACAGATATGTGTTTTTTTTTCTCTACAGGAATACAATGGAGGACTTCTACCAAAAGAGGAAATAATGTTGCGGAAAGCCATGTATGCCTCTCTTGTAGAATCTAAAAAACCTTCACCAAAAAAAATTGTTGTGCATCCCTCATCAACAGAGAATGATGGATGTTATGTTAATGGAGTGCTTGATAATGTGGAGTTAATCTCAGCGGGAGAAGAAATCAATGGCAAGCATTGTGCTATTCCTAATGAGGTTGACAACAATAATAGTCCTAATGTTCATCAATTTGAAGATGTACAAGCCATGGAGATCCACAGCCCCTCATCAAGTACAGCTACTACACAGAAAAAGACAAAAATCATCAAGGAACCTAGCAAACTGTTGAATTATGTGCTCAAGAAGAAGAAAGAGAAGAAGAATAAGGGCAGGAGTTTATTCAGAACTCCATCGCCTTTGAAACTTCAAGCTCATGGTGATAGTGGAAGTGTAGATTTTTCAGGTGGAGAAGCAAATGTCCTGAGAAACTCATCTTGTTTATCTCGAAATGGGAAAGTGAAAAAGAAAAAGCGGCAAAGAGGAGCTCTGGCTGTTTTTGTAGCCATGAATAAATCTGCTGGAGGAAAACTTAACAAAAGCCATAGTCTAAGCAAAGAACTGCTCATGAAGACAAAAAAGAAGAGAAGAAGAAGGCAGAAAAGCATGGAGACTCAAGCGTGTGGAGCTGAAGGAGCTGTTGGTCTTGCTGCTGAAAGTGAGGAGTTGCCCACAAAGAAATACAAGAAAGATGAGAAGAAAAAGTGAGTAATAAAAACCTGTGAACCCTTTAACTCCCATAAGTGACCAAGAGAGAATTTCTCCCTGGAATATTATTACAGCAATCAGAAAAGTAATGAGAAGAAAGAAAAACCTAAACTTGGGGATTGTTTGTTGATCCAATACCAAATTCTCCAAACTTACATCATAAATATTGTATGGCAGTCAGTTATGAGAATTACTAATGAGATTTTGGGAATGAAAGGGCTAAGATCAGGGGGGAATTTTTAACTTCCTGTTTAAGTCATTAATTATGTATGGTGACAGGTGTTCTTTAAAACACAAAGAGGTTTTCTAAGTATTTCATTTCACCTAGCTCCTAGTTTTCATTTTCTAGTGCTAAGAATTTTTTTGGTAATTCCTCCCTTAAGATACAATGCATTTCCTTGAAATCCAGTCTTAACCCTTTAACCTTCCAAGATCTGATTGTTAATTCTCTTCTCTAGCCACTACAAATTTCCTTGTAAATAATTTACAAGAATTTGGTGTCAGATCAAGAAAACTGATTCAACCTGATAAGTTTGGATATTTTTATGACCTGTTTGCTGGATCATGTTTAAATATTATAGGGAGAAGTTACATATTAATCACCTATGGAAGTTCATGGTTAAGAGAAGTTAGTGTCAAAGAGAAATAAAAGTTTTCCTTTCTTTTTACCTGTCTGATGGAAAATGTGTTGATATGACTAAGAGAAGTTGCTCATTATTCACTTCTGAGAGTTGAAAGGTTTTAGTTAACTCTTTACACCGTAACATCAGTTTGCATATTCTCCATACTGTTCCCTATACATTCCCGAAGGTGCTGATGAGGAGAATTTGTTTCATAATCAAGAGCTTCTGTTGTTGGTGATCATATTCTTTATTTTCATAACCTTTAAGTGTGATTTGGGGGTGATATTAGGGGTTAGAGGGCTCGATGCAAGTGGTTTTATGTATAACATAAACATGTTCAATTTAGGCAAGAAAAAAAAGTGAACAGAAAATATGCCAACAACTACAACTTCATTCACACACAGTAAAATTTGAATTACAAATTATTTCATATTGTGTGAAGTAAAAAAAAAAATGAGTCAAATCTTAGGTGACTTTTTAAACATTCAGGGTTTGAATTGAATTTTTGTAAGATCCTTAAGCTTTAATAAACTGATTGAACAAACTTTTGATTAGTATGCACACCAAAATAAGAAAACTGATCAGACAAATTGCCATCTTTTGCATTCTTTGAAGAGGTCTAATGTTATGATGGTAAGTATCATCCTCAAGTAAAGACTCATCCAATAAAAATGAAGGAATAATCACATGATAAAATGGGAAGAAAATTTTTTACTTCAACAAATTGCCTTGTCCTATAAAGGACACCTATGACTGTAGTTATTTTTTTAAACTTGAATGTGTATAATGCTGTATAATTTTGAAGATGTGCAATCATGAGATAGATTTTCAAGAGAAAAATAACAATTTCGATAGTTACATGTATTCTGCTGTCTCCTCATGTTACTTAAAATTGGAAACAATCATATTAGCATGTGTAGAGTTCTGCATTGTGTTTATTTTCTTGATTTGAATTCAGTTTATTGATATGTATCTTTGGTGTTTCTATAGGCCACACAGAATGGTTCAAGCACAGAGGAAATTTGCCAAGAGGCATCCATTGAGTCCCAACAGGTACAAAATTTTTTTTTTAATCCCAAAATTGGTTTTTAAAAAAACTTTTTAACCCTAGCATCAGTATCCATATCCTCTATACATTTCCTTTGGTACTGACAAGGAGAATTCAATTAACAATCGAAGTGTCTTGGTTGATGATCATTTCCTTTATTCTCATAACCTCAATGAATGATTGAGCAGTATTACTGTAAGGAGAAATTAGATGCTGGTCACTCATGGGGTTTAAAGGGTTGAATTACAGACTGGCTATATTTTAAATATATTTATTTACTTATTTGATGTCTATTTGTTTAGTATGAGATATCAGGTGGACAACAACTTATTTACAGCTCCATGCACCAGGGCAAAGACTGAAGATTTCTTGACTTTTCTGTGTTTAAGAAGTGAGTGGTGTAATCATTTAGTTAATATTTAACAATTATTCACTGAAGTGGAGGAGTTCAGTGGTGGATATTTACCTAGCTGAACAGCCGCATGGTAAATATCCACTGATACGGTCACTGACATTGAGGTG